GTAGTGAATAATATATAACGATTCAATTAATATAATTGTTTGATTATACAATAGTTAATAGTAGTTATTCAAAATTAAATGATTAACAAAAATACGTTAAAAAAACAATTAAGTGTAATTTTTTCTTTTTATATTTTTTATTATTAAAATTATTTTTTTATAAAAATAATAAAAAAATAACTAATAAATTATAATAGGTAGTCATACACTAATTTTATTTTTAATAAAAAAAATTACATTAGTTTTAAATAAAGTAAAAAAATTAGTCTTTTCATCTAATTAGTAAATTTTATTTATTAAGTTAACATATTTTTATGATGAATTAATGTAAAAATAAAAACATAATAACTACTTTATATTATTAAAGGGAAAAAATAACATTGAAACTAATTAGATAAGTATCAATTAAAAACCATGGTCAAAAATTAAAAAATTCAAATGGATAAATTTGTCAATAAAATAAAAAAATTTCAATTTGTTAGCAATTTAGTACAAAAAACTACTTTAGATAACTTTTTCGATCCACTAATGATTTGGATCCTAACTGCTATCCGTTAGTTTTAAACCATTAAATAAAAAGTTTTATTAAACACCAAATTTATAATGATTTCAAAATAAATAAAATTGTCAAACAACTACTCTTGATGATTTGAGTAAAATTGTTAACCGCTACTCCTAAACCACTATAACAAACGAGATGTAAATAGTATATCAATTGAAATCCACTATTAATTATCAATTATTCACTATTCACTAATTATCACCCGCTATCTGTTATCTGCCATCCATTGAATTTTAATTGTTAAACCAAACAAACTATAATAGGAATTTATTAATTCAAATTAAAAAAATTTACTCTTTTTGGCTTAGTTTTTTATCTAATAAAATAAAAATATTATAATTAACAAATAGAATTTTATATTTATCTTTAATTAAATTATTATTTAAAAATTTTTATTATTTAATAAATATATTAAATAACATCTTAAAAAAATAAATAATTAAATTTAAATCTTTAAATTAAAAAACTAAGTATATTAAAGTCAAAGAAATTGAGTAACATATTATCATCCATAAAAAGAAAGGCCCTAGTGACAAAAGGCCTGAAGAATTGATTTTAGCCTGATGGATAAACCTAAGCCCAATTGAAAATATCTAGGCCCGTCTTCTTTCTTGTATAAGGGGCAAAACCCTAAGTTAAGCCCCCTAACTTACCTCAGATTCTTGATTAAACCCCTAAACTTTTACTGAAACAGAAAAACCCTTGAACTTGGCAATATAGGTAATTTAACTTTTTTCTTTACAACAGATGTAATATTTGTTTATGTCTCCGCTGCATAAACAAAGTCAATATTCATCATATAAATAATAGAATGTATCTTATTCAAATAAGTAATACATAAACAAATGTTAAGTCAATTATAAAAAAATAAATAAATTACTTAAATTATTAAGTTTAAGGAGTTATTTTTTTTAATAAAAATTTTAAGAGTTTGATTGTGAATTGAAGTTTAGAGGCTGGGTTTTGCCTATATAAGGGTCTATAGAGTCAACATCTGGGATGGTGTAGATCGTTTCTTTTCTGGCTCCTCCACCTCTCCTCCTTCCGCCCGGTACTAAACGCCGGCGGGATTTTGTCCGGTAGGAGTGTTATTTACACAAAACAATGAATTCAAAGAATTATAACTTCATGAGTTTTTTTTCCATTTTATGGATATGTCATTGTAGTAGATTTAATCATACCTCCATTCCAAATATGGTTCAGGACTTTTCTTTTTTGCGATGTTAATGGGGAGGGCTAGAACTGGGTATGTATAATTGAACCTCATTGTTTTTCCTTTTTTATTAGTTTTGTTTTAGGTTATCTGTAGCAATGGCTTTCTTTAGAAAAGTTGGGAATATGCTTAGACAGTCTGCTTCGAAGATAATGGGTGCCAAATTGCATCCGTGGGTGCCAAAAGATTCAATCTTTCAAAACATACGGTGCTCATCAATTCCATCTTCTAAACTTCTTTTCGGAGGTATCTAGGGCTGAATTCATTTAGAGGTTTTAGAAATTTCTGCTTCTCACTGCGTTGTGTTGAAATTATAATACTGGGCACTGCAGGTATTTCATGCAACACATGTGAACAGAAACTGACAGAAGCTTTTAGCAAATATGGTCGAGTTATAGATAGTATGATATCTACCTTGCTTGCATTATATGTTGGTGTTTTGGAGAAATTTTATGTTGCGTTAGAATTGATCATATTCTTATTTCCATATATGCTGCTTCATGCTTGGGCTATGAGCAATGAGTTTTCAGTCCCAAAAAAAAAAAGGGGTTGCCATTCTAGGCATGAAATGACATTTTTGCCATTATAGATGCCCTTTTCTGTTATTTTATTGTATATATATATGGTTGCTACCCATCATGTTTCCACCAAGGTTGGTCCTGATCCTGGAGGTGGGTGTTCTAATCTGTGTACGTAAGGGAGGAAGGGAGTGGTACAGCAGAGGTAAGTCCCCCACAGGGTTTGAACATCATGTTTGTGGTGGTACCCCTCCTAGGGGTGGTTGCCACTGCCCGTGCCCCCTAGGTGTAGAGGTGGATGTTCTAACCTTGTATACTTTCTTTTTGGTATTACAAATGATCTGCCCTTTAGTGATTTTCTTATGGCGTGGCCATTGAGCTTACTTCAAGAAACATTACTTCATGGAATTTATGTATTAGAGATGTTTGCCTACCAGTTGAATATGAGAATATCCCTCTTTTTGGAATTTAGTTTTGATATCATGTAACAATTGACTTTATATGCTCTGCAGCAAGAGTAATTGGTGGATAAAGTGACTGGCTGGTCAAGAGGATTTTGTATCACATACCCCAGCATTCGGGAGGCATCACATGCCATCAAGGCCATGGATGGACAGGTATAGTACATTTTGTTTCTACAAAGTAATGGCCAAACCCCTATTTGCACCCTTCATTTATTTTATTTTCATGGTCAACACCTTATAATATTTTTCCTCCCTATTCATACCTTTCACTTTTTTAAATCCGTCAAAGACCCAATATTTTAACTTACCGTAACATAAACGTTAATAATCATTAAAAATTGTAATACGTGACACCAAACAGTAACATGAATGTTATGTCACCTTATTAATCCAATGTGAACTTTTTTTTTTTTGATGATGTGGCATAATTAAATCATAATTAATTTTAATTTCTTCATTTTCTTGTTTCCCAGCATATCTTTACCATCTTCCTTCTCATCCTCCTAGGTTCCTCATGGAACCAATAACCCAAGACATTATGTCACATTTATTAATCCAATGTGGGCTTTTTTCTTTTTTCTTTTTTCTTTTTTCTTTTTTATAATGTGTTATAATTAAATCATAATTAATTTTAATTTCTTTATTTTCTTCTTTCTCGGCATCATCTTCACCATCCTCGTTCTCATCCTCCTGGGTTCCTCGCAGAACCCAGGTTCTAAGTTCCTTGTGGAACTTAGTTTCACATGAATGCCTACCAAACTAACATCTTCATCCACACAAGCATAAGTAAATGAATATTACACAAAAACATGATATGCATCTTCCACCCCTTTTCCCACCAAAAACAAAAAAATTGTTATTGCCATTCATGTTAATCCCACTTGAACTCAAATTGGCAACCTGTTCAGAAACAATCTCCAAGCAAAAAAATCACTTTTCCAACAAAAAAATTATTCCAAATTGCTTTGTATAAAATAGGAAACTAAGATAAATATATTCAAATAAAAAAATGAAAAAAAAAAAAAGGTCAAAACCCAGAATTTGGGTTCCTTGCGGGGAACCCATTGAGAAGGGGAGAAGAGGATGGTGAAGATGATGCCGAGGATGAGGGGGAAAGAAAAAGATGAAGAAATGCCACGTCATAAAAAAAAAGTCCACGTTGGATTAATAAGGTAATATAACGTTCATGTTACTGTTTGGTGCCAAGTATTACAATTTTTAATAATTATTAACGTTTCCGTTATGACCAATTAAAATATTGGGTTTTTGACAAATTTGAAAAAGTAGAAAGTATGAATAGGGAGGAAAAATATTGTAAGTTATTGACTGTGAAAATAAAATAAATGGAGGGTGCAAATAGGGGTTTGGCCTAAAGTAATTACTAATTCAGGTGTGTTTGCGTTGATCCAGAGTTTTATGTCAGATGCTGATGTTACATCTTACAGTTACACTTCCAGGACCTCTATATGTTTTACTGAGTACAAATGCCTTTGTATGTTGTTATGATAAGAAATGGAGTGTTGATGCCATCATGTTTGTGCACAAAAGTGGCATATCTAAGTTTATCACTCTGTGAATATCAGAATAAGAAATCTTGATTGTATATATCCTGGCTTGTTTTTTCTCTATGTCTATTTATCAAATTCAGGATAAAATTATGGTATCCAACTATCCATAGTCCATACATTATTCATTATATCATTGCATTTGGTTCTTCTTCTTCCTTTGTCTCTATCACCATCTCTTCCTCCATGCTCCTATAACTTCAGTAAGTCAACTTCAAAAAAAATTCATGTTTTTAGCTCAAATCGGTCAGGAGAATGTCCCCCCATTCATAACAGATGGGATCAAATCCCCCAACCCCCCTCCTCTCAAAAATTGCTTTTAATATCCTGCTGTTTGAGTGCTAATAGACTCGTAGCTCTTTTTCTTGTTTCCATCAATTTAACCCTTTCGAATTTGATTGCATCTTGAAACTTTTGGTTGACTTGTCAAAATTTCCTCACTCTTCGTGGCCGTAAAATAAAGGTGAGCTATGTAAAAGTTCGTTCTAGAGGTAGAGACCGTTTTCATGAAGATTTGGAAATTAATTGTGAAGATGTCCTTGATATTGTTGAAAACCTTGGTTCTTCCGATGGAAGTACATTCAGTGGTGATGTGGGCATTGGATGTGGTGGTGGAGGTGGATGTGGAGGCAGATGCGGAGGTGGAGGTGGAGGTGGAGGTGGGTCTTGAGGCAGGGACAACAAAATAGATTTTTTTTTTCTTTGGTAGCTATATAATCAAATTGATGTACAGGAACAGGATTGTTGGTTTAGTTTCGAAGACTCATCTTTCATTGACATTTTTATGGTATTCAATCTCAGTTCAATAAATCAATCACTGATTTTGTAGAGACAAATAGTACAAAAAGAATGTATAATAAAGAAACTAGACAAACTCGCACAAAAAGAAATTAAGATAAAAGAGCAATGTCTATATCAGTAATAAACGTCCACCTCATAACTCGACAAATTTCAACTGTCATTTCAAGACTAACAGCACTCTGCCTTTTTTCTTGAAGATTTGAACATAAATTGGGATGTCTTGTTACTTTTGCAAAATTTAGTGATTTGAAAATCGTAATTAAATGATGGGTTTGGCCGTTTGGGTTGGATTTTTATGTTTTGTTAAGAAGGAACTTTGTTCTAATTGGGTGGGGGGGTTTTATTCATTGTATACCTGGGGTTTATGGTGGTGTTGCCGACTTTGCAATGGTTGTCGTCCTAACTCTGTATCCTCCATCACCTTTGAAAGGGGATGGCAGAGTCTCTTAGATTGAGGACAAATTTTGTAAATATAACGAGTTATGGAGGTTAATTTTAGAAAATAGAACCACCTCAACATAGTGTGCACCCTAGTGGAAAAAAATTATCCATCTCATTAGCCCAACCAAAAACCATCCCTATAGAGAAAATGTACAAATAAGAAGGTCAATTCTAAACTTTTTTTTTATTTAAAAATATTAACGTTATCATTTTTTTAAATAAGACTGTTAATTTTTAACTTAATCTATTTAAGGATACTAACTTTCAATTATTTTTGTTTAAAGATGTTAATTTTTATCATTTTTTAATTTAAGAATTAATTACATCATGATGTTAACGTGACAAATGGATTTTTTAAAAAATGTTGACATCCTTAAATAAAAAATATTAAAGTTAATATCCTTAAATACAAAAAGTTGAAAGTTAGTATCTTTATTTAGAAACTGACAAAGTTAATATTTTTAAACAAAAATAAATAAATAAAGTTTTTATCTTTATTCACACCTTTGCTCCGGTGAAATAAGGGGTGAAATAAGGGCTAATTCTCATATTATGATGAGTTTATGGGGCTGATTTGTGTCTGCTTTTTGTTGAATAGCTGATTTGCCACCATTTCATGAGTATAAGGGCTGATTTGGAAAAAAATTACAAAAAAATAATAAAACAAAGATTCACTTGAAAAAAATTAAACAACTTATATTATGAAATAAAATAAAAGTTAGCTACAACATTGCATTGTTATTGAGAACCCAAATTGGGCTAACAAACGCTAGGACATGGACCATTCTTCTCCTTACATCAACCTAATCCCTAATCCCGGATATCTTTATAAAGTCTATCCCTTGATTAGACAACGCTTCTTTCTTTTAAAGGTTGCAAACGGAGCTGGTGGAATTTTAAATTTTGAGAAATGTGCCTGCCTACAGAATCTTGTTTCATCCTTAGTTTAACATCAAGCTGTTGGTTTGACCCTTGATCTTTGAGGCCAAGGGGAGAATCATACGGTCATATAGAATGCCCCATATCACCATTATGATAACGCCAGAGGTAGTAAAGTAACGTGTCTATCCATGGAGCTAGTTTGCAGCACCCATACTCCATAATGGTAAAACCTTTATAAGCGCTTTGAGCTCTTCTACTTGCTCCGTTGTGCAAAGTGTCCATGAGTTGACAGCTACGTCATCGTGGGTTATATCCGTCCATAGGGCTAGCTTGGAGCAAGATCCTTGTACGTCATAATGTTAAGACATTTGCAAGTGCTTTGAGCTCTTCCACCTGCTGTATCGTGCAGAGTCTCCACGGGTTGACAGCTAAGCCATCGGAGGCCATATCAATTCATGGAGCCCGCTTGGAGCAAGATCCCTGTACTCCATAATGGTAAGACCATGCTTTGAGCAACTTTTTTTTTTTTTTTTGGAATGAGTGCTTTGAACCCTTCCATTTGCTTTATTGTACGACGAGGATGAGTGGACAATTGAATTATTAGGAGTTATGTCTTATTAAGGTTTTGTCAAAAAAATCTAAGAGAAAACAAAAATTAAAAGAAGAAAGAAACTAATACAATAAGTCGAAAGAGTTGGAGATGGAGAAAAGATTATTTTGGATGCAGAGAAGAGGGCTGAGGAGGTAGAGTTACGGATGGAAGGAACTATATATGGAAGGAGAAGATGATAGGTGGGGGTAGGGGCATGAAATGAGGATTCAGGAAAGGGGAAGCAAGCGAATGGTTTGGAGAGATTTAGATCCAATGGTCTAAAACATATAGTTTGAATAAATCCAATGGACGTAATAAAATCTAAATATATTGAATTATTAAATTAAATTCAAAATTTAGAAAGTCAAAATGTTGGGCCCGAATGCGAAGGCAGACTGACTGCCAGGAAAAACGCAAGAGTTTAAAAAGTCTACCGATAATATTAAGAAAATTAAAAATAAGAAAAATAAAAACTAACATATTTTATTATTAAAAATATTATTAAAAATGTCTAATATTTAATCCTCATTACTTGATAAGTAAAATTTAAATGAAACTTACATTATATCACATATATTTTATAGTTATGACTTAAGGTATAATATTTTGGTTAAAACCCCTTTTTGGTCCCTAAACTATTGTATAGACTCCCGATTTGGTTCCTGAACTAAAAAAATATTTGATTTGGTCCCTACTATTTACCATTTTTACCCCAATTTGATCCTTCCGTTAAAAATTGTGTGACGTGGCATGTTACTTAACAGTTACCAGATGACATGTCATATAATAATATAAAAAGTGATGATGTGGAAAAAA